TTAATTCAAGCGCTAGTCAGTCGAACTGTCAGGACTCGGCCCAACGTAAAACTTAGGTGAGTTATTTATATTCAAATTGCAACAAGAAATTTCGAATATCTCTACGAGCTTACCCCAGACTTCCGTCTGTGTAAAGCGGCGGTTTGATATGTTTAAGATCGGAAAACCTTGATGTACTAATAAATACAGAATTTACCATAAGTTATTGAGTAAATAGTAGCTGCTAAAAGGATAAAAAACGGAAAAGCCGGCAGCTCTATTGTTTGTAAAGCACGCAACGGTGCACATGTATGAGACTCAGAATGATAAGATGAAGTCTGCGTAACTCGGTACCGACAGGACGTTGACGTAAGTCCACTTGCTAACCAGCAACTTTAGGCCATGTTTAATTCAAATTTGACAAGATGGACACAGATGTATGCTTGTTCAGTATTATAATTAGCCGTATAAGATGTGAGTTTGCTAACATTTAGTCATGTAAATGTAACCAACATTTTAATGAACGACGATAAGTTCAGGGGCAGGACAAAAACTGCAACTTTACCTAACCCTATCTGTGCTCATATTCGATCGCTACAAAGGGCGGTCGTTCGAAAGTGTTTATTGGAGAGGTGGTTATCCTTTACCAGATATTATGCGCAAACAGCAAATTATAAATTCTGTATTTTTGAATGAAATCATATATATTTGTCATTGAAGGTCTTAACTGGCCATAGACCTTTACAGGGATTTTAAGTTCAGTGCATGAGAACTTATGCAACCATATGAACTTCATAGTTGGTTTGGCAGATTTGCTTTATTTGAGTTGACCCAAGTGTGAAAAACTCAGTTGGCAGATTTGCTTGATTTGAGTTGACCCAAGTGTGAAAAACTCTAGGCGAAAAGAAAACTAGAGAGTCTGTCGATCAAAAAGGACAAAAGAATTCTTTAAGTTAAAGCAGTGGCCGTGGGTCATCCGTAAGAACGCCGTCGATACGTTTGACACAGGCTAAAGAAGTAATGTGTTGGATCAAGGAGACGCCCCGAGATCCTGCTCTATCAGTGCGGTTAGACAATAGGCACGTTAGACTATTCAAAATAATTGCATCGGTGTTGTGCAGAATTTAAAAATAAACAAGTTTATCATGCGAAGATTACATAATGAATCTTTATGAGAACTCGCCACCAACCTGCAGAGGAAAATCAGTGCTTAAAATGCAAACGTACGGTACTTTATCCCCCAGTAGCAATTCAAGAGATTAGAGACAATATGCTGATATCTTCTGCTTTTTAACCTCTCCTGCTTGACGCCTGACTAACGGACTGACAGTTGAAAGGCTGATGCATGCAGGGTCGAAATATACACCAGTATTCACAACAAATGTACACCTACGATTCAGATCGAATAGTGCGACGAAAGCATCCCTCCAAATATTCTGTATGAATAATTGTATCGATCGACTTGGTAAAGATTCCGAGATTGACGGGAGTTCTCACGACAGCTTGCTTGTGCTAACCCCGACAAATGCATTTTGGGGACCCGAGGTCAAAGTTATGTGTTATCGGATATCACCCCGGACATATTTGAACACTATCTGAAAGGGTCTAATGAATCCAAAATTGGCCACTCTATTTGGACTAAGCTCAAGTGCACATTTTCATTAGGATCGCATCGTATTACAGAAGATTCAACCGCAATTTCGCACACATTGTTGCACATCTAAATAAGCTATCGGAAAACGGTTGGACCTTTAAATGTTCCTCAGTGCGACGAAGTGTTTCATGACATGTGCTCAGCACCCGTCTTCGTCTTATTCAAACTAACTCGATGCCCCACATTTTATCCTTTAGACGGATGCCAGTGGTTTTGCGATTTGTGTTGTCCTTTCGAAAAACACGCAATTGTATTGCCAGCAATTTACTCATGGAAACTAAACACGGGTGCCACACTTTCTGTTGTGAACTGTTTGCATCGTCACGCCAGTTCGACGTCTTCAGCGCTTCCTACTAGCCTGACGTTTCTTTACTAGACACAGATACGAAAGTATCCCTAATAGCATTTTGTTGTCAAGTTGCTGGCAACGGCTGCCCCAAATATGCTGCCGTCGTGGACCGGTGAAAACAGGATGGGAGATACTGTCTCAGCTATTTGCTTGGCTTGGCTATTAGGGACTCTAGTGAGTGGGATTAAGTAAATACTATGTAGATTAACACGCGGGACATATAACAGAACTTCGATTTTGAATTTTTATATCGGGCGAGCTCGAAAAATCGGCGTGTGCGTTTTATCCCGTTTAAATACGCACATGGGTGGAGT